TATCCTTTGGTCGGGGAAACCAGCTTCTCCGTTCCACGCATTTTCATTCCAGTGATTCACCCACGCCGCTTCCTCCTGAAGAGGAGCACGAGGGCGACACAGCGCGTCTCACTCTGCCCCGTCTTTCCTTTACTCCCTCCTCGGGATAGTTTTCTCCCTGGGCTGATTTTTGGGAATACCGTGTCCACCGTCGCTTTTACTGCGATGGCCCTGGCAGCTCAGGGAAAGGTGCCTGAGTTGGTTTTCCATCAGAGATGGAAAAAAATCTCAGCAAGAGACTCTCCATCTCTTGCAGGCAGTGGTGGGGGAGACAAAAACACACCAAGGGTGCGTTAGCGCAGGCGCTGGACCCTTTTCAGCATTTCAGGAGGGAAGTGTTGGAGTTTGTAACAGCAACACTCGCACTCCGTGTCCGTACTGGAGCGTTGCCGGTCCTGGAATGGAGCTTGTCCAGTCTCTGTGTAATACAGCTTTTCATCCCGTGTATAAATGTTCTCTGGGTATCTAAAAAGTCGGGTTTGGGGGGCTGAAACTGTGTTGACGTTCCCTAACTGGTGACCTAGGGGACACCCGGCATGTGCTCACCGGCTCTGCGGATAACAGCTGTCGGCTCTGGGACTGTGAGACGGGTAAGACTCCGCCCTTCCAGCGTAGCTGAGCTTGGGCGCTGACGCCCGCGTAGCTGCGCTTGGTCGCTGCCGTGAGGTGGTGGGAGCGTAATGTGCTCGTTCCCCCCCCTGAAAGAGGCCTGAATCCGAGCTCAGGATGCTGGGGGGGTGGGCAGGGCTTGTGCACCTGCCTGGCTTCTCGTGAATATTAATGGAATTCATTCACTTCGCTTGCCCAGGTAGTTGAGAGGTGCGATTGGAGCTTGTGGGTCACCGAGCCTGCCTGTCGGCTACTCCCGATGCTCACGGCTCCCCCCAACTTCTCCCCCTTCCTCCCCTGCCGTTTAGCTGCTTGTTTTCCTTAGCTTTGCCCTAAAATGCCTGGGGAAGTGACGGTTTCTCTCCGTGTTCAGGAAAGCAGCTCGCTCTGGTGAAGACCAGCTCAGCGGTGAGGACGTGCGGCTTCGACTTCGGAGGAAACATCATCATGTTTTCCACGGACAAGCAGATGGGATATCAGTGTTTTGTGAGCTTTTTTGACCTCCGGGACCCCAGCCAGATCGGTGAGGAGTCCGGGTGCCTGCCCCAGGGAATAAGGGGAAGTGTTGATGGCTGGAGTTGGTGCCACGGTGTCTGTCTGTCTGTCTCCTTCCTTCCTGCAGAGAACAACGAGCCCTACATGAAGATCCCCTGCAGTGACTCGAAGATCACCAGTGCCGTGTGGGGCCCGCTGGGAGAGTTCATCATCGCCGGACACGAGAGCGGAGAGCTGAACCAGTTCAGTGCCAAGGTCAGTGATACGGAACGGCATC